GTAAGGCTAGTTTCAATAAAAATGAGCCCAATCCTGAAAAATAGAAACATCTCAATGAACAAAATGAAAGTCCTGAAATGCTATGTTTGATCAACCCTTCTATATGGCTGTGAATGCTGGACAATCACTAAAGACAGGGAAAATAAAATAGGAGCAACAGAAATGTGGTTTCTTAGGAGACTGCTAAGAGTATCGTGGAAGCAAAAGAAATCAAATGAGGTAGTGCTTGATGAAGCCCACGTGGGACGCTCAATGTTAAACACAATCAGGAAACGACAAATGCAGTTTTTGGGACACTAGACATACGGGTCTTGAACATCTAGAAAATCTAGCTCTCACTGGCAAAATTGAAGGCAAGCGAGGCAGGGGTAGGCCCAGAACAACATAGGCCTACTTAGGGAACCTAAACAAATGGGTAACAGGGAAAGATCAGGGAAACGTAGCTTTTTTAAGAGCATCCGAGGAAAGGAATGAATGGAAAATCCATGATCGCCGATGTCTGTCGCAGATCTGGCACTGGAAAAATAAATATTATTTTTCTTTAATTTTAAAACCCTCCCCCTATTATTCAATGCTTTAGAGTACGAGGCTTCTGAAATACGACCCGCAGTTTGGCGACATTGCTTTGAGACAAAGACCCTACTATATCTTTGTTTGAGGTCAACGAAATTCTACTTAAAACCTTGTTTGAGATTAATTTTGAGATGTCGGAAAACATTTTTCAACATTAATTTTAAATCATGCGATTAAAGCCCTAGGCTAGGTTACTGTCATGGTTGCATATGAGTTGTCTTAATCTCATGATTAAGTGTATTATCATATTATTTCTTTACTATTTGCTTTTTAAAAAACCCAACATATTGTAGGCCTAATTTGTTCACGACATTATAAGCTGTTGTTTTTTCCATTGACTTAAAATTGTTGTATGGTTAATGCTTCGGTCTTTCTTTTTCCTTTTAACCCTAACCGTACATCGTGTTTTACTATCGTATCCACTATCCACATGATGTGGGGAACTCTGTGACACCACTTTCCAAAGAGAAAATTTACTCGTTAATCCGATCCGTACGCTTTGCATAGCAGTCTGTCAAATTTTAAAATTATTTTTATTAAATACTGAAAGTTTCAAATAAAGAGATCTTCGTACTAGATCTAGAAGTATTCTAAAATGTGAAGAATACAACCCCATGGGTACAAAATGACCTCAGGGTGTACGATAGGGTTAAGAAACCCACATGACGTACAAAAATAAGGGTGGGTGAATTTACGAAAAATAAAGGTGATTTTTATGAACGTGAAACGGATTGATATACACAATGTTCCCCTTCTAAAAAAAATCACATCTTTCCCCGAAGGAGCTCAAGAATTTCATACCTGTCTCCAACCTTCTCTTTTTTATTTAAAAAAAAAATCTTGGAGGAAGCTGTTTTGGTTCAATTGAAGAATCATTTAAAAGAAAACAACTTATTACGAATTGTATCAATCTGCCTATCGGCAATTTCATAACACAGAAACTGCGCTATTGAAAATATATAACGACCTCTTGTGTGAGGCGGATGAGGACAAAATATCAATTTTTTCTCTTCTTGATTTTAGTGCTGCCTCTGACACTATAGATCACACTATTCTTATTGAACGATCGTTCAACACGTTTGGCCTGTCCGGCAGGGTTCTTGACTGGTTCAGGTCCTAAACCTGATTGGCCGTACACAATCTGTGGTTGTAGACGACTCTTTTTCGTCAATTTTCAAATTAGACTTTGAAGTGCCTCGAGGTTCAGTATTGGGTCCAATCTTGTATACGTTATATACACAGCCGCTTGGAGCTGTGATCAGAAAGCACAATATGAATTATCATATGTACGCAGACGATACACAGTTATATAAATCTGTTCCACCATCAGATGTTAAAACCTTGCGTACCACCATAGGTCTGTGCATTGATGATGTCAAAAAATGGAGGATTGATAATAAGCTCCAGCTTAATAAAAAATAAAACTGAAATTATTTTAAGTAGCCCAAAGAAAAACCAAATCACCATAGACATTGATCATATTTGTACTGAAAATGACAAACTGTATTTTAATGATAAAGCAAAAAATCTGGGAGTGCATTTTGATTCAAAATTGTCGATGGAATATCATATCAATTTATTTATGTACCATTTTATTTGATGAATTGCGTAGAATTGGTCATATGTCTATGTTTATTTAATGAACACTTTTTGAAAACGCTCATGTCATCTTTCTTGTTTTCACGCATCGATTATTGCTATGCTTTACTAGCTAACTTACCAAGTGCCACTCTTCACAAGTTACAACACTTG